CCAGAAGCTCTCCAAAAACTCATCCTCCAACGTGACCAGAGGTGCTTAGAGGGGGAGAAAGAGGGAGAGGGGAAGAGGGGCTCGGAGACACAGGGGGAGGGGGAGGATGGGGGTCTTTTATTCTTTTCGCGCCCTCTCTCTTACTTCGTTTAAAACCTAAACTTTATGTTTATTTGCTAAGCTCGACCACCAAGAGCAATCTCGGCTCTTCTGGGCAGAGCGGCTGGGGGGCACGGGGAGGAGCAGCCGGACGCTGGCTGCCTCCCCCCGCCCTGCCGGGCCCTACGCACCCTTCGAAAATCTCCCGCAGCTTCGGTCCTGTTTCCATGTCTCCACGCTACTGCTGGCGCCTCCGCCCTGCCCCATCAGCCGCTCCCCTCCGGTATGATCAGACCACAGCACCCATACAGCGAAGATGTGCACACCCCTTCCATCTGGGTGCTCGTTGGCGAGAGGCAGCGAGAAATCTCAGGCCAGAATCATCCTCTCCTCAGACAAAGCACCCAAAAAGTCGTCCAGGAATGTTTTTTCAAAGCGTCCCCTTCCTTGAAGATCTCTCTGACACACACATACCGACTACTTCCCTTAAATGCTCATATCTTTGGGCAGGGAAGATGTGTTGTAATTTTTTTCCTCTATCTTTTTGCAGACAGGGATTTCGCCACTGACTTTCTCAGTGTGAGAGTTAACTTAGTTGACGCAGAAACTATGTGTCACAAAAACACACCTAGACGGTCAGTGTAGATTTATTCTGTGAATTCTTAAATGTGATGTTGAGAATATTAAGGGTTGAGCTAAATCCCCTCCAAACTACCAACATTTAGGCTGTAAGCGTTAGCACAGTTGACAAGACGAAGAAGGCAGACAGGATGTGGAGCCGAGAACTTAGCAGCATCTCCATGGTGTAAATCCAAAAGTTCTACCTCTGCAGCACACCGTCCTGCATCCTGTGGCCATAGGTCGCGTTTAGCTGTTTTTCAGCATAAGTGGCTACAGACAGCCCGTAGAAACCAGGGAGCCACCGCGGGCGCAAGCCCTGGCTCTGGAGCCAACTGCGGTGGCAGGCACAAGCGCTTGCTCCAGGCCTGGGCCCTCCGAGGGGCTCCCCCCTCCGCCCGACCCCTATTGTTCCGGGCACGGCGCCCTTCCCTAGCCGAGAGAGGAGCAGGGGGAGCAGTTTCGACAGCAGCGTCTGTAGAACCGGGCTCCCAGGGACGGCAGGCTAGGGAAGCCAAGGCGGCTCGGGAGAACTCCAATGACTTCGAAGGGAAGCTGACAGGACCCTCGAGGTTATGTATATTGGAACCAAGGGTGGGAAACAGGATCAATGGAGAAGATTTAGACTTGATCAGATGGAGAAAGCCGGCTAATGAAGCAGATCGAAAGATGGCTATCATTGTAACTCCCCCAAAAGTTTATTTTTCTTGAAATTTCCGCAGAGAGGCGGCCGTCTCTTTTGAAGTGTAAATGTTTCTAGCTCGGGGGAAGACGGGCGGGGGAGAAGGCTGGGTTAGAGAAGAAGGGGGAGATCCTCAGATTCTCTTTGAGAAAAAGAAATAAAAGCAGGAGCTAAAAAAAGGAAAACCAAGGCAAAGCAAAGCAAAGAGATTAGAAAAAAAGAAAAGATTAATCTAAAGTGGAGAGGGAAATAAGCACACAGGGCTCGTGAAGTGGAATAGATGGGAAGCCCTGGGAGTGGAAAGAGGCCCGTGGTGTTGGCCTCGCCCAGTCCCTCAGGGCACACGGCAGTGCCCGGGGGCGCGCAGACAGCTCGGTATTTTTAATTCTGGTTGGCAGAAATTGTTCAGTGGATTTAAATGTTGACAAAGTAACACTTCTAGGAAGTCTACTGTGGGAAGGGGTACCAGGTGATATTTTGTTATGTGTGGTGGGGGAAGGGGACAGCAAGTGGAGAGCCTTCCCTTCCCTTCCCTTCCCTTCCCTTCCCTTCCCTTCCCTTCCCTTCCC